GCGGGAACATGGCGCAACCACATAATAATGCCAATAATCCACGCCACGAAAAGAAGAGAAAAACTTGAAACCAATTATCCTCGTTAATTTTCAAGATGGCGTTGACAGAAGTTGAGAATTTGTTCAGATATCCAAAAAACTCCAGTTGAGATATGCCACGTGCGCAAGGTCAAAAGGCAAACATGCCATCTCGTTATAGCGATGTCTGCCACAAATTAGAAAAAAATCCTACTAAGTTTTAATGGCGGACACGAGGGGGGGGGGGGGGGGGGGGGGGGGGGGGGGTGCAGACGGTACATCGTCAAGATGTTTTTCTTCAAAAACATTTATATACAAGTATATTTCTTCCCTGTCTCTTTTAAAGTTCGTATCCTGTAGCAGTTTTCATTTTACACATTCTTCTTAAGTCACGTTTCTTTGAATCTGTTTTCAGTTGTTAAATTATCTTTTATTCTTTAGTTGAGTTGTCGGCTCTGTGGCTAAGTCGATGCGGATGTTTCGTAATGTCGGGATGCCGGGTTCGATCCCAGCTGCAGGCCATGCGCATTGCGTTGGTTTCGACAGTGGTATCAAGAAAGACGACCGTCCAGAAGCAATGGCAAACGACTGGACGTAAATTTGCCTAGAAAACCCACGCTGTTGGGGTTGGTTCTGGAACGTCATGTAAAGGATACGCTGCTTACCTTTAGTTAAGTTCAACACGGATTATCGTTACTCAAGTCACGAAATGCCTAAAATGTGAGCATTTTTATCAGACACCTTACCAAACCATATCATATAGAAAGGGATGGGGGGAAAAGGAAAAAAAAGGGGGAGGGGTGGGGTGGCGATTTGTCACCATAAACTAACCTGGACAATGCCAATTACTTGTTTTGCAGAAGTGAGATAAGCGATATTTTCAAAAACAGGGCGCAGATCTCCACACTTGCTTCCCTTAAAAGGCTCATATTTTCTGCATTATAGACCCATCTTCTTTCCCTTGAATAACAGTAGGATTTGATTGTTGAATAGCAGTATGATTTGATTGGCCCACCTAGCTCGTTAGCTTCAGCCGCTACCCATTTCTGCTACAGCGATCCTCAGTCCATGTGTATATCTTCTAAACTGTTGATATTAATGTATTCAACTGATAGTCTTTGTTTCGTGCCACACTTTGAGCTAGTTCATAGTGTCAGCTTTACCCGTTGCTTGGTGCTAAGTTTTGTGGCGGTACCAGTCAGTCTATATTGTTCGTTGTCCACCACGACCTATTTTCAAGTGCGAAGATGCAAATAACTCAATAAATTTTCAGACTGTGCAGTTACTTCCATTAAGTAAATCTGTTATATTCCACATTTGAGGGTTTACCGAAGCACTTGACTACGAGGACAGAATCCATAGTCTGTTAAGATTTGAACCACAACACTTTGCTTTTCAGTACCACCAACTGTGTAACTGTGACACAATAATCAGACTCTTGAAAATGTCAAGATGCTCTCGTTCAAATCTTGTACCGGTGAAACTTTAGCTAAGATTATGTGTTGTCCCACCACCAGAGAGTTCCTCATTCTTGGACTGATTATTACCCCCCCCCCCCCCCCCCCATCCCCTTTAATTCTGGCGCCTCTCCCCGCCCCACCCCTCCCCTCCCAACCTCTCGCTCTCTCTCGCCACTCCCTCCGGATCCCAACTCCACCCTGCGTTGCTCCACAACAGGATATCTCCTCATTCTTGGAAAGAATGCAGCCTCTAGGTTCTGTCCCCTGTTGTTACTAGTGCATGTCTTTCCTCTTCTTGCTTGGTGTTTCCTGTTTGTTTTGTCTCCCTTTGATTTGGCTGGTCGGTTCAAAAATAACAGCTAGAGAAAAAAAACCAATGATTGTTAATATTATGTGTATCATCATCATCAGGTGCCTTGCCGACCGGCGTGGGCGATCATGCCTCTCCATAATCTGCGATCTCCTGCAGCATGTATCAGTTCGTGTGCCGACACACCTCCATGCCATGCAACAAGACTGTCAAGCATCTTCTCTCATTGTCTTTCTCTATCCCTTTTTCCACAGATCTTTCCAGTGGTCACAAACAACATGTTCTATTTTCCCTCTTCTCATAACATGGCCAAAAATGATGGCTGTCTCCTTCTGATGTCTGTGATAAGTTGTCTTCGGGCTCCTGCCTCTTTCAAAACCTCTTGGTTGCTCTTTTTGGCTGTCCAAGGTATTCTAAGCATTCTTCTGTAAAACCACATCTCTGAGGCCTCTAAAAATTGTTTGGCCTGCCTACCGATTGTCCAGGATTCACATCTATATGTTAAAACTGGATGTATGTAGCAAGCAAGAATTCTTTTTCTAACTCTCAATGACAAGGATATATTGCACAAGATGTTTTTCATTTTATAAAATGCAGTTTTTTCCTGTCCAATTCTGTTTCTTATTTCAGTTATGCATCTTCCATCTGATGTTATCCATGTGCTCAGATACTTAAATTTCTGTACTTGTCCTAAAATAACACCATTGACTTTTATTACACATTTAGGAATAATTTGTTTTTTTGATACCACCATTACTTCTGTCTTCCCATTATTCAAACTGAGGCCCATTCTTCCACTTTCTAACACCACAATGTCTATCATTTCCTGTAATTCTCTCTGACTTGTTGCTATCAAGACTGTCATCAGCATAACGTAAATTGTTTATATTGTGCCCACCAACCACAATTCCGGGCATATCAATTAAAGATCTCATTATATATTCACTTTATATTGAAAACAAATCAGGTGACAGTACACATCCTTGTCGTACGCCCCTCTTTATGCTTTGAAATGTACCTAAACAGTTGTTAATTCTTATAGCTGCTGTTTGCTGCCAATACATATTCTTTATTATTCGTAGATCTTTCCCATCAATGTTTAATTTTTCTAACAGTTTGATTACTTCTTCATGCTTCACACAGTCAAATGCTTTTGTATAGTCTATGAAGCTTAAGTACAAATCAGTCTTTACTGATTATGTGTATATATTTTTGTGATGTGGCAATCGTAAAATAGAAGTAAAAAGTACAGGAACTGTTTCCACAGCTTCGGGTGATGTCTGTGATAGTACAACTCTGGCAATGTCATCACACTTGGACAAATCATGAGGGCACTAACCAGAATATTCTCTGTTCTTGTAGGTAAGATGGACCTTGGAGACTAGGTCGGTTAAAAAAAAAAAAACAACTCCCCACCTTGAGGTGGACTGCACACCTGGACCGCACACCTGGACCAGGGCCAGTTTTGGACGTGATGAGTTTCTATGCTAAATGAAACCCTGAGGCCCCTACCATTTTAAATTAAACCAGCGTATCTCAGAAGACTAGAATATCTGCACCTTTTAAATATATGGATCATGGAAATATATTGTTATTTAATTGATATTAACACAAATAATGAGGTCCCCCGTGTGGGTTCCGGGGCCCTATTGTGGGGAAAACAAGAATAGACCCACTGCCTCCCCAAAAGCATGTCGTAAGAGTCGACTAACTGGGGAGCTTCCTTTGAAGTCGGAGTGCATCTGCCTGAGAGGCAAGGAACCAGCAGTCTGCATTCAATTGAATCAGATCTGTAAAACTGATGCACATGCAACACTCATGTTCTGGAGCTTGACTGCAGTCTGAAAGTGGATGAACAACCAGAACTTTACGCCAGAGTGTACAGCTGGTGAACACAAAGAAGAAAGAAATAATGAGGTATGTGTTTTCAACATCACAAATATTATATAAATCTCTAAAGACAAATTAAAACATTTTTGATTTCCCAAGTGCAGATTCATTGATTATGTCGTTAAAAGAAGAATTTTGTAAGGCCCCTATAGATTGAGAGGCCCTGAACTATAGCTTATTTAGTTTATGAGTAAATCCAGCACTGGTCTGGTCCCTGAGCCACAATGCAAGCATCCTAGCCACTGTGTTGTTATTATACTCACAGAGCATTGTTGGGAAAGGTGGAGACTGGTATGCTGCATGCAGTTCGACAAGTATCACTTCAGAGGTCTCAGGGAGTTAGCATCCTTTGCAAATTTTCTTCAGCTCATGCCATTCTTCAGCTCATTCCAGTGTGTTGGGAAATAAACAGACAGATATACTGGATGGTTCTGCACCACTTGGTGGTGAATTATTGCATGACAAGCTAGGTGTTACAAGGGTCCTTTGGGAGTGAGTAAACAGTGTGGATGCACAAATAGATCATTACGATCTGAAGAGAATGGCGCTGCAAGAAGTGACCAGAGGATCTGGCTGACGCTCGACGTTCAAGGTAAGGGCAAGATGGATATACAGTCAGATTGTTACTGGTGCCATGGGAATAGGAATTCTGCAATTTCTACCAAAGATGGGGACGGAGCACTTACAGGAATGTCCCGAGTGCTATGTTGTTGATTCTTAACTCACATCTGTTTTATTATCTTGTGCTATTATTGTAGAATATTTATAAATGTGATCTTGTCTTTCTGCAGCCATATCCAGACCCAGGTTTGTGGACAGACTCATCACTGGAGCTTCTAGCCTGACCAGCATATCATCCTCCTTCCGCTCCAAAGGATACAAGAGACAGCTGTCTTTAGAGCTTCCAAAGTCTTCACATTGTCAGAACAACCCATCTGTAGGCAGTCTCCTCAAAGATGAGACCATCCCTGAAAACATCAATGAGCCAGCATATCATGCAGATCACGCTCAGTTGTGTTCCACTTGTGACCTGCAGACTGTGAACCAGGATGTAACACAGCTCCCACTTAGATCTCTGCCACCTTCAGCTACTTGTTCTGCTTGTAAAGAGAAGGGTCATGTTCTGCTCTATGCTCATACTGTGAGCAACAGAGCGTGCAGAATCATTGCACCAAAGCCTGCAGACTGTCATTCAAACCCTGAGGAATTAAATTCAGAATGTGTTAACTCGGACGCACAGTCTGTAACCTGCTGGTCAGATCTTGTGTCGGGGGAGTCATTTGACCGTGACTCAGAGTATAGTCATTCAAAAACAGAATCAGCTCAATCTCAGTCTCAGCCTATTAGTGGTGGTTCAGAATGTTTCTGTTTTCAGCTAGAAGACTTGAGATCACAGTCTGAGGAGGGTGTGGTAGACCTTGTGGATTGTAGGTCAGGGTTTGTGGAGTCTTTGTTGAACCCTGCGGACTGTGAGTCTAATCCATTGCTGTGTAAACAAGATAACAGTTCTGAATCTGTTCACTGTAAATCAGAGATTGTAATCTGTAGGTCATATTCTGCAGATCATAGGTCAGGGAAAAATGATAGAAGATCTGTAAGTTTAACTGAAAGGTCACATTGTGAAGAAAACTCAGGATGTCAAGATTGTTTGACGGAAAATAGAGAAGCAGGTTCTGATATTCTGTTTAGTGGAACAAAGAGTGAGCTAGAAAGTGTAGTTGTTGGTAGTTCTAGCAGTTCAGAAAACAGGTCACCAAAGGAATGTGAATCAGAAGCAGTAGATAGTTGGTCTGAGAAAGCAAAAGGCTTGTTAAGGAATGAAGTTTGTAATTTGCTAGAGGCAGATGGTGGATCTCTAAGCCAAGGAAACAGTTTTGAAAGCTCCATACAAGCTGATAGTGCATCAAATCTTCGTTGTAAGAGTGAGGATAATAATTCAGACTTTAGGAGTTCAGTGTTTGAGTATAGCTCGTACAACACTCAAGGGTTAGAGAACTCAGATCCTGTCAGTGAGTCGCTGAAGTTTCTTTATGCAGATTCTGGGCAGGACACTCAAAACACAGCTAGTGCATTCAGCCCCGGTTATGTCAGACGCCAGTGTGAGGCTTTCTCCAGGGCATCACATGGCTTGCAGACATCTCCTAGTGGGGTTGATACAAACAGGCAGCAGTCTAGAAAAGAACATCTGAATTTTTTGTTGACCCCTTCTGTAACATCTGTTCAAACAAGGTTTCAAGGATGCCCAACAGATAGTGCCAGGCAATATCAAAAAGGTTACTATGGTCTTGCTTGGGATAGCAAATTCCATAAAAAGGTTATGGCCAAAGGTTATGTAAAGGCTCTGGCTGAGCAGATTAACCACCAAGGCACTATAACTAACCTCAAAGATGAAGAGCTACAGGAGAACAGCCCTAATGATGGGGAAATGTCCAGAAGTGTTGTTCATAGTTTAATTCAGGCTGCAGAAGTTCAGCAGTTGAAAGAAAATGGCTCTGTTTGTATAACAACGAAGCCAACTTTGCTTTCAGCCAGTTCTGTGTCTAACAACAGCTCACATCCTGAAGAAGTTTCTGTTACTGCTCAACAAATACCAAAGAAATTGACAATGAAGAATAATGAACCTCAGCAAACTTCAGGGACGGAAAAGCCAGCAGCACATCAAGGAAGTGAATCTGCATCTGTCTTCCAGCCACCGCACACCGCTTCCCATTCTCCTTGCTCAAAGCTTCAGTGCAACAAACTTGTAACATTTTCATCAAAGTCCTCGACAAAGTTCCCACCAAATGACTCTGTGTACATACCTCGGACACCAACAAGACCACAGCAGTCTTTCATCCAACAGAAACCAGAAGTAGACTATACCTCAAAGCCAAAATATCACAAAATGTCATCAACGGACACAGAACAGAATAACTGTGCAAGTTCACCCCCATCATCCTCTAGATCTTGCTCATCGCCATCAAGAAAAGCAGCAAACATATCACCTTTATCATCTTCATCAGATCCTACTGTGCCTTGTGCTTCAGATAAACCCGACAGTGCCTCTGAAAATATCACAGGCAATATCTCTCCCCCCTCGTACAATACTCAGATCTTATCACATTCACACACCAGAAGTGACCAGGTTTCCCTTAGCAGTGATGCCAGACAAAGTACTGACCAACACAGTGATTATGACAATGCACCACCTCTAAATGCTGCAGAATTGTTTGACTCCAGCTGGTCAGACTCTGACAGCCTTGACGAAGTCAGTGATGACAATGAAGATAATGGTGACACAAAAGTAACAGCTTTAAACATTCTACCCCACGACCGTTCAGAAACAAAGGTGAAATAGTGACTCTAATTATTTATTGTTTCGCTTTCTTTGCTATTGGAGATAATGGTGGATAAATGGAACTTACCACAAATTAAAATTTTTTTTTTTTGCATGCAAAAAAATTATTTTGGTCAGAGGACAATAGTTCTTTGGTACATACAGAAACTATGTTATATATTGTCAGAGGAGGATACTTGTTTGGTACATACAGAAACTCTATTATATATGGTCAGAGGACAATACTTGTTTGGTACATACAGAAACTCTATTATATATTGTCAGAAATGTACATTACAATTAGCTTCAGCTTGCATACAACTAGATGCTAAGTTTGACAAAAGACTACATGTTTGATGTAATGTCACCTGCTTCATAGAACTGTGTGCTCTGTTGTCTAAACCACATTTTCACTTCACATTCAACTTCTACGTCATTCATGAAATGTCTTCCATAAGGTTGGTTTTCAGTGGACCAGAAAGGTAGAAATCGCTAGGGGCTAAGTCGGGGCTGTAAGGTGGATGTTCCAGAAGTTCCTGCAATAGATGGTTAATTTTCTCCAGAGTTAACTGAGCTGTATATGGTCTAAAACTGTCATTTTGTGTTCGTCCTTCAGTAGTCTGGGCACTCACCTTGAGCACAGTTTCTTAAATTTTAATACATGCTGTATTATATTGTATGTTGAACAATGTGAGCACCCTATTGCAGCAGCTACAAAGTCAACCATTACATGCCTGTCACCTCTAATCATCTCCCCCTTCCACTGCACAGATGCATCTCTATCAATCTCAACAGGATGACCAGATCGGACTTCATCAAAAATTGTAGAGGGTCCTTGAGAATTAAAAAAAAAAAACCCAGCTATGCACCGTTTTACGGGATAAACATTTTTCAGCCCAAATAGGAAGCATTTTCTTATGAATGTCATTTGTAGGCAGCCCTTTTGACCCCCCGCCCACCCATCCCCCCCCCCAAAAAAAAAACACAGCAACACGTTGTTTTTTGAGGGTACACTCCTTAAGTACAGTTGCCATTTTGTTTCTGTGCTAGGAATGCACCTGTAACATCTGGTTCTACTTAACGAAGGGAGACATAAAGTTTGATGTTGCTGTCACCTAATGACACCTTTAGAAACCACCAACTACATTTTTCTGTCATCCCAAAACTATTTGTGGCTTACTTCTTGACTTTCCCCTGGTACTACATTTATAGCATGACACTTAGCCACTCAGCCCTCTTTTAAAGTGTATAATCAGTTAGTTTTAAATACATATTTTGTTTCTCAAATCTTCATAGACCAGTGATCAACAGAAAGGTCATAATGAGGATAAAAGGTTCCGGATTGCGGAGGAGCTGCTGCGGACGGAAAGAGATTATGTGGCCAGGCTTCATCTGCTGCATCAGGTGGGGTATCTTGGTGTTGGTCATTTATCGCAGGGATTAGAACCAAGCATCGTATTATCAGGCATTTGTTGTGGGGATTTGAACCCTGCATCTTATTGTTGGTCATTTGTTGTATGGATCAGAACCCAGTGGTTGATCCTCTGTTGCTGGGATGAGAAAACAACATGGCCTGTGGAAGGCTCTTGTTACCGAACAACTGTACATATGTTTCACGACCATTCCAAAAGTAACATAATGTTCTTGCTGTCCTCACAGAAATATGTTAACTCTTTGGAACTGAATTATTAGTTTAACCACTTCTATTCCACTGGGAGTCGCTATACTATAGCAGCTAGATGCTTGCCTGCGCAACTGAAGCACTGAGTTCGGGTCCTGATGGGTACTAGGTAAAGTCTTGGAAGTAAATTGGCCAGCGTGATGTTGATCACATCATTCGCCAAGGGCTGAATGATCTATAAAATGTAGATCTAGTCCTATATGCCTGAAGGCATAGAAAAGGGTCCTTTACTCTACTTTTGTTTCATTGTGTCTCCTTTAAACTTCTTCAAATCTAAGTTGTTTTTAAAGGGGTACAACAGAGTGCTCTATTTTAATTACCTGCCTCTGTAGCTGTTAAACATGGTCTGTCTAGTCAAGAATCTATTCTAGTCGCTTATTCCAGTGGCTGTTAAACATGGTCTATCTAGTCAAGTGATCTATTCCAGTCGCTTGTCTCAGTGGCTGTTTATCATGGTCTGTCTAGTCAAGTGATCTATTCTAGTTGCATATCTCAGTGGCTGTTTATCATGGTCTGTCTAGTCAAGTGATCTATTCTAGTCGCATATCTCAGTGGCTGTTTATCATGGTCTGTCTAGTCAAGGGATCTATTCTAGTCCCTTATCTCAGTGGCTGTTTATCATGGTCTGTCTAGTCAAGTGATCTATTCTAGTCGCATATCTCAGTGGCTGTTTATCATGGTCTGTCTAGTCAAGTGATCTATTCTAGTCGCATATCTCAGTGGCTGTTTATCATGGTCTGTCTAGTCAAGTGATCTATTCTAGTCACTTATCTCAGTGGCTGTTTATCATGGTCTGTCTAGTCAAGTGATCTATTCTAGTTGCATATCTCAGTGGCTGTTTATCATGGTCTGTCTAGTCATGTGATCTATTCTAGTCGCTTATCTCAGTGGCTGTTTAACATGGTCTGTCTAGTCAAGTGATCTTTTCTAATTTCTTATCTCAGTGGCTGTTTATCATTATCTGTCTGGTCAAGGGATCTATTCTAGTCCCTTATCTCAGTGGCTGTTTATCATGGTCTGTCTAGTCAAGTGATCTATTCTAGTCTCTTATCTCAGTGGCTGTTTATCATGGTCTGTCTAGTCAAGTGATCTATTCTAGTCGCTTATCTCAACTGCTGTTTATCATGGTCTGTCTAGTCAAGTGATCTATTCTAGTCTCTTATCTCAGTGGCTGTTTATCATGGTCTGTCTAGTCAAGTGATCTATTCTAGTCTCTTATCTCAGTGGCTGTTTATCATGGTCTGTCTAGTCAAGTGATCTATTCTAGTCGCTTATCTCAATTTCTGTTTATCATGGTCTGCCTAGTCAAGTGATCTATTCTAGTCGCTTATCTCAGTGGCTGTTTATCATGGTCTGTCTAGTCAAGTGATCTATTCTAGTCACTTATCTCAGTGGCTGTTTATCATGGTCTGTCTAGTCAAGTGATCTATTCTAGTCACTTATCTCAGTTTCTGTTTATCATGGTCTGCCTAGTCAAGTGATCTATTCTAGTCACTTATCTCAGTGGCTGTTTATCATGGTCTGTCTAGTCAAGTGATCTATTCTAGTCACTTATCTCAGTGGCTGTTTAATACAACCTGTTTAGTCAACAATGTCTGCTGTTTTGGTGGGCTATGGGTGTAAAAAGGTTGAAAAACACTGCTCTTGAGAATTCATAATCCTCAGTAGTTCTCTGGACTGTTTTGAAATCAAAGGAAGGAAATGAAATCATACTTAGGATTTTCCTCATAGAATATTAGCAACATTGGCACATTGTGCAGTTTTGCTAATTTAGTTACTAATGTCTGTATCTTGGGAAAGTCTGGGCACATCTTCTTTTTCTTTTGCCTTTTATTTCCCAAAGGAGCATAGGCTCTCAACCAACTCATGCCAAGTCATTCTATCCTTTGCTATTGTATGCAGCTCACAGTATGTCCTACCCATCTGTTTAACCTCACTGTGTGATTCCCTTCTCAATGTGTTTTTGGTCTGCTTTTATTTCTATGCTCCTGGGGGTTCCAGTGCAGAGATATTCTAGTTATATTGTTCTCAGGTTTTCTCAACGTGTGTTCTATCCAAGGCCAGCATAATTTCTGCATAATTCTGACACATACAGAGCCATAAATAACTATGCAACAAATGAGGTTTCTGTAGTTGAAGAGTGGTTGTCCAGATCTTGTCATGATTCCTGGTTTAAAAAAAAAAATTTAACCTCCAGGAAACAAATGAAGGGGTGGCCTATAAAAGAAATCCTGGTTTGAAAACATGAATCTGCCAAACTGTGATTAACTGCCAATACTGTTGTGTAGGTGTGGGGTCTCAATACTGTTGTGTAGGTGTGGGGTCTCAATACTGTTGTGTAGGTGTGGGGTCTCATTACTGTTGTGTAGGTGTGGGGTCTCATTATTGTTGTATAGGTGTGGGGTCTTATTACTGTTGTGTAGGTTTGGGGTCTCATTACTGTTGTGTAGGTGTGGGGTCTTATTACTGTTGTGTAGGTGTGGGGTCTCAATACTGTTGTGTAGGTGTGAGGTCTCAATACTGTTGTGTAGGTGTGGGGTCTCATTACTGTTGTGTAGATGTGGGGTCTAAATACTGTTGTGTAGATGTGGGGTCTTATTACTGTTGTGTAGATGTGGGGTCTCATTACTGTTGTGTAGGTGTGGGGTCTTATTACTGTTGTGTAGGTGTGGGGTCTCAATACTGTTGTGTAGGTGTGAGGTCTCAATACTGTTGTGTAGATGTGGGGTCTTATTACTGTTGTGTAGGTGTGGGGTCTTATTACTGTTGTGTAGGTGTGGGGTCTCAATACTGTTGTGTAGGTGTGGGGTCTCATTACTGTTGTGTAGATGTGGGGTCTCAATACTGTTGTGTAGGTGTGAGGTCTCAATACTGTTGTGTAGATGTGGGGTCTCATTACTGTTGTGTAGGTGTGGGGTCTCATTACTGTTGTATAGGTGTGGGGTCTCATTACTGTTGTGTAGGTGTGGGGTCTCATTACTGTTGTGTAGATGTGGGGTCTCAATACTGTTGTGTAGGTGTGAGGTCTCAATACTGTTGTGTAGGTGTGGGGTCTCATTACTGTTGTGTAGGTGTGGGGTCTCATTACTGTTGTGTAGGTGTGGGGTCTCATTACTGTTGTGTAGGTGTGGGGTCTCAATACTGTTGTGTAGGTGTGAGGTCTCAATACTGTTGTGTAGGTGTGGGGTCACATTACTGTTGTGTAGGTGTGGGGTCTCATTACTGTTGTGTAGGTGTGGGGTCTCATTACTGTTGTGTAGGTATGGGGTCTTTGAAGCTGAGGATTTAGAGCTGCATGGCTAGTGCTGTCACCATGACTGTGCAGGTTAGGATTAGATTTTTGCCACCTGACAGAAAAGCATCCACATCCTTACTGAGGATTCGAACTTTTCTCTCCTACATGAGAGCACAGTGTTCCTAACCATTCAGCCAGCAGCTCCTCTAACATTATTCAGTGCACTAAAACATTGCAATGAAAATTTTGTTTAAAAAAAAATTGTGCCATCCCGAGAATAGAGGTCAGCTGCAAAGTCCACAAGTAGTGCAGTTTGAACTTTGAAAACTTGCACATAAATACCTAGTGGTTGAGTTGAGTCAGTATGTCAACCATTGTTACATATTTTCTTCGTATCTTAACCTTACTTACTTACTTACTTAGTCGCTCCTCTTCTACCTTGGGGTGTAGAGGTTTGCCAGAGAGATCGCCAGACGTCTCTATCCGCTCGTATCTTAACCAATGTTACATATTGATTTTTTTTCCTCAGGTATTCTTTTTTCGACTGGATAATGAAAACCGTCAGCAAAACTTTCTTCCAGCAGATACTCTCCAACACATGTTCTCCAACACCAAAAGTATTTTCCACTTCCACCACGATTTTGTGCTTCCACAACTGGAAGGGCGAATGAACAACTGGCAAGTATTTACTCTGATGCCATCTGTTTTGGTAAAATCCTTCTTTTTTTTTAGTAATTATCAGCTGTCCACACTACCTAAGAATTTTCTGAGTCATAACAGCCGAATCAGTTGCCTTCATAATGATTGAATGTGACTGAATAATCAGTGGCTTTCATATGATTGAATGTGACTGAATAATCAGTGGCTTTCATAATGATTGAATTTCACTGGATAATCAGATGCCTTCTTAATGATTGAATCTCACTGGATAATCAGTGGCCTTCTCAGTGTTTTAATCTCACTGGATAATTTCCCTGTGTGGGTCTGGTGCCCCATTTTAGGGGGGACATAATAGACCTGTCTTCATAATCATTGAATCTAACTGGACAATCGGCACTCTTGATAGTGGTTGAATCTATCTGGACAGTCAGCACTCTTGATAATAGTTGAATCTATCTGGACAGTCAGCACTCTTGATTATAGTTGATTCTAACTGGACAATCAGCACTATTGATAATGGTTGAATCTATCTGGACAGTCAGCACTCTTGATAATAGTTGAATCTATCTGGACAGTCAGCACTCTTGATAATGGTTGATTCTAACTGGACAGTCAGCACTCTTGATTATAGTTGATACTAACTGGACAATCAGTGCTCTTGTTAGTGGTTGAATCTAATTGGACAGTCAATACTCCTACTAATGGTTGAATCTAACTGGACAATCAGGGCTCTTGATAATGGTTGATTCTAACTGGACAGTCAGCGCTCTTGATAATGATTGAATCTAACTGGACAATCAGTGCTCTTGATAGTGGTTGAATCTAACTGGACAGTCAGCACTCTTGGTAGTGGTTGATTCTAACTGGACAGTCAGCACACTTGATAATGGTTGAATCTGACTGGACAGTCAGTACTCTTGATAATTTTTGAATCTGACTGGACAGTCAGCACTCTTCATAATGGTTTAATCTAACTGGACAATCATGGCTCTTGATAGTGGTTGAATCTAACTGGACAGTCAGCACTCTTGATAGTGGTTGAATCTAACTGGACAATCAGGGCTTTTGATAGTGGTTGAATCTAACTGGACAGTCAGCACTCATGATATTGGTTGAATCTAACTGGACAATCAGGGCTTTTGATAGTGGTTGAATCTAACTGGACAGTCAGCACTCTTGATAAAGGTTGATTCTAACTGGACAATCAGTGCTCTTAACTCTTTGAGTCCCAGGGGGTTTTGCATCACAGGCCCAAGGGGGGGGGGGGGGGGGGGGGGTAATTTGATTTTGACCTTTTAACAAATGCAGCACTTTAAAACAAACCACACAACTGCAGCTGATGTCCAACATACACATATCATACATAAAATTAAACATAAATGGATAAGGATTAATGTTAGCTTACTGCTACAACAAACAATTATACTGTTAGTTAGCATTTAGTAGAGAAAACAGTGACTTAGTTTGAGAGGTGAGCAAATTATGAACAAGTTTTTTCCACTTACCCAGAAGCTGATCCCAAAATTCTTGATATAGTATATCCAAAATGCATCACAAAGGAAGGTACACCACTTATAAGTATGCACAGCCAATATTGAAGCAAAATGTGCAATAGTTGTTGTTCCATAGCAATTTGAATAACACTACCATAACACGTAAAAATATATTCTCCAGTGGCACAAACAGTGACTTTTCTAAAAACAATTGAATTCCTCACATAGAAAAATCTGTAAAGGCACTGTAAACATGTCAACCTGTTCATAGATATAAATCTATGGTTTTAGACGATATGGATAGTAGTACTAGAAGCGCTGACATTTGGACTAGCTGGTTTCGCATTATGAGGTGCTTCTCTTGTGTTGCCATGGTAGAATTAGTCAGTTTTGTCCTCCTAGCAGGAGGTAAATTACGCACACATCCTCATCAAAACTTGACTCGTCAACGGTTTGGGGAAATTTCACGTCGCTACTATCATTATCCAACTCCACATTACTTTAATCGATCCACTGTTTTATCAAATTTGATGATTCTAAAGCAGTAAATCGCTTTGATGGGTGTGAAGACGATGACTGATCGGACATATTGTTTTCAGACAATTGTTTGGTAACGTAGTAGACCACACAAATATCGATTTAAAGCGGAAAAAACTCACCAGACCCAAACGAATGCACTCCACGTGTGTTCACTACACACTTGAGAACCCGAAAGGAAGTTTAAATTGAGCGGTTCGCGTGTAATTACCGATAAGTGGTAAATTAAAAACCATCACACATCATGCGCTGTTTGGGCCACTAGGTAGTAACAAATCAGCGCGTGACGCTTTCCTTGGGACTCAAAGAGTTAATAATGGTTGAATCTAACTGGACAATCAGCAAGCACTCTTGATACTGGTTGAATCTAACTTGACAGTCAGTGCTCTTGTTAGTGGTTACCATATCTGTGTAGTCTGAAATATTGTTATACTTAAGAACTCTACGGCTGTGACCTAATTTGGTTGTCTTTAATCTCTTTCAGGAAAAATGATCCTCGTATTGGGGACCTTATGAAAAAGAATGCCCCGTTTCTGAAGATGTACACTGAATATATTCGTAACTTTGACAGAGCAATGAAGCTCATCAACCATTGGCTGGAAAAGTCTGCCAGGTTTTCTGAGATAATTCAGGATGTTCAGGTTGGTGCATTCTCTTCTGTTATTAACAATTCATCTATATATTATTATATAATATTTTATATTTATCATTATCGTCAATGGCCTGTTGTGCCAATATATGTCACATGGCTCACAGTCTGTTTCTGCTTCCTGTTCTATCCTGTGCAATCCCTTCGATATCATGGTTGGAATCCAGTCCAGCATCTTTGGCCTCTCTCACCAACATCAATATTATGGTTTCTTCTTGGGCGTCCTCACTTCCTCAGTCCCTCAATGTCCCATTTGAATGCCTGTTTGGCAATTCTATGCTTGTTTCTTTTCAGAATCTGCCCATTGTAGTACTTGCTTCTTGTGATCATGTGACAAAATATATTTTTTTTTTCATGTGTAGCAACCATCCGCAATGATGCTCTGAAAGTTTCAAAATCCTACACTCGGTTTTGAATTTTGTATGAATTTTATTAGAAAACCTGTCACTTTGGAAACAAATATCCAAACACCCTTCGTAATGGGAGACAGTAATGCCCCGGATTGCTGGTCAGGAAAGTGTTAAGAATTGGGCACGCAGGCCCATCTACCATTCTGCCCTTCTAGTCTCTATTCTTTCATACATCATTCCATTCATACATCAAGAAATAGTTAATGTTATCAACAGCATCAAAATACCCAATGCAAGCACTGCAGTGTGCACAGTTCTAACTACCGTAAAGCATAGCAATTGTAATAAATCAAGGGAAAATATGCGCCATTTCTAAAATATGTTTATCTTTTATGGGGACATGTAATCTGTAAGTTAAAAAACAAAAGTAGTAAAGAACCTTTTTCAACCCCTTTCAGGTCTTTTGGGCATATGGGGCAAGATCTATATTTTTTTTAGATCAATCAGCATTCAGTGGCTGATGTGGTGAACATCACGCCAAGCATCTTTACTTCCCAGGACTGTACCTGGTACCCCTTCAATGCTGGGTCAACCTAGGAGCCATTTTCATTATATGTAATCTGTGCTCAGGTAATATTCGAACAGTTTTCAATTGTATGTATAGGGACTAGATGGCTGGGACTCACGAGCAGCAGCTACCGCATCTCCTGCAGCTTCCTTCATTTTTTTTGCTCGTGAGTCCCAGACATCTAATAGCCCCAATCCATGCCATGCGCAGCGGCATGGGAGATACTTTCGGCGGTGGCGGTATAGTCACCGGAAGTCTGCAATTGACACATGACTGAGGCCCTGTTAGGGTATATTTTCGGCCTCGATAATTTGGGACCGTTATTCGGAAGATAGCCTAAAATTTGCCTAGAAAAAACACAAAAGCCAAAAAATGCTGGGGTTGGTTCTGCAATTCCTGAAAAGGATCTGCAACTAGCTTCAACTTAAGCATGATATAAATAGTTCTAGAAATTTAAAATATTTGGTTTTGTTTTTCAGAAACTTCCAGAATGTGGGAATTTGTCCTTGCAACATCACATGCTGGGCCCCATCCAAAGGGTGCCCCGATACGAGCTGTTATTGAAAGGTAACGGTATGACTGAGTTTGTGGTGATTATAAGGATATTATAAGCGTACACTTTCCATACTGCCCTCCATATTTTGTCTTCTATAAAGAAAAATTACAATCTAGACAAGAAGTAGAACCAGTCAGCTAGATAATACCAATTGCACACACAAAAAATGTATGGTGCGGCCTGTATGCTTTCATCTGCATGTGACACACAAGGACAGTGATACAGCTACAAACAAGAACACTTAAAATCTTTTAGCTTTCCGGTCAGGTCTGTTACAAAATCTCCATCCACTATTGAAAAGTAGAGACTGTGTGTCACCTATTGACCCACGAGTAAGATACCGAATAGGAATTGACCCAGAGAGGTTGGATAGTAGGCAGGGTGAGAGGTTACTCGTTGTGATGAGGTGCTGTGCATGGTCTTCACGATTACATAGTGGCAAGCAGAAAGTCCGTGCAACAAGGGACAGCACGAGATACTTGTGCCTAGTCGAGGAAGCGAGGGAAACCCCGAGATAGCTTCGTGGGCAGTCGATCATCAGAAGTCAGAGAAGACGGTTGTAGTATTTGAAGATGTCGTCTTTATGTTGCGCAAATGTTTAATGTTCGAATATGTCGCGAGTGAAATAAATGTGAATAATGTGTTGAACATGTGAAATAAATGGACGAGAATAAACTGACAGAATGTACCAAGGAGCTGAGCGGCGTTTGTGTTGTCAACCCTAGACATTAAAGTCGGTGTAAACCAAGGTTCATGTCAAGTCTACGTCAAGGTTCAGTTCAAGCAGACCACGATTCATTCTAAGTTGAATCAGAATCATTCCAAGTGAAGCAATAATATATTACAAGTGGGGTGCTTGTCCGAAGGAAATTCGAAACCACGCGGACCATAAGCATAGGAAAACATTTTTGGTTCTTCCAAGGTAAGATAAACATGCGGAAAACAGTGTACATCGTCTTTACCCGAGCAGAGCTTATTAACACAGCAAGCGCCGACGGGTCAGCTGCCGACCAATGAAAACCGGTGTGTCATCTACGCCCTGCCACACACCGGATCACTAAATTTTGTGAATTCAGGAAGTTTCATGTTTACCCAAGCTACATATCAAAAATATTAAAAATCTAGTTTGTGAATTCAGGTTTGTGACCATTATTGTTTGGCTGAAACAAGCAGACTATGAACTAATTTTATTTACAGTTACGATCAGTTTTCTTACTACGGTGACATTTTGTGCATCGATTGTGCGTTTATCAGAATGGCATCTAAAAGGTTGGTAAAAAGTAAGAACACTTTGTCGCAAGTATCTTCAGCGACAACAATGAAAGATACATCGATTAGTAACCAGAAGATCAAGATGTGCATTTTTTGTAAGTACCAGCACAGTTCTTCGAATATCTGCGACAGAGATCCTAAATATTCAAGTTATATTGAAGACTTAGTCAATAAAAAGTGGCAAAATAAACAAAAGAATAACCTTAAAAAGTGCCACTTCTGTAAGGCATTCGGACATATTGTAAAACACTGTGTTGGGAAACAGATGTTAAAAGACAAGAAAAGATCCTTGTTTGCAAAAACCAATTCAGTTAAAATGGATTCAGAAGGTATTCCTACTCTAGATTGTGTAGCATGCGACTGGTTGAAAAAACAGGGAAAAACATCAGAGCCACATATAATGTTGAGAGGAACCGTCCAAATGAAATGTCCAGGAACTAAAAAGATAAAGAACGAAATCGTAATTGCAGAATTAGAACCCAGCAAGAGTAGTAATACAAGCAAGAAAGTTGAAACGAAAAAAACAGCAGCCACTGAAACAGAGAAAAAGTCAAACTCAGAAACAATGAAAATTAATCAAGCAAAGGATATCACTGTTCCAACAATGACATCAGTCGAGACAAAAGCAACTCAGTGTATGAAAAAGATAGATTGTGAAGTAATAGATAGGCAAACTGTGGATAAAGAATTTCATTATTTGGATAATAAGAGTGGCATACCTACTGATCATATAAGAATGGCACTAAACCCGAAACATCTAGAGAAAACAACTAGATGTCTTATTAACAACAAACCAGGTCAAATGCAACTAAATGGATTTACATGCGTCAACATAGTACGGGATAAAGTGTTAAGATCATATATTATTGCTTCACTTGGAATGATTCTGATTCAACTTAGAATGAATCGTGGTCTGCTTGAACTGAACCTTGACGTAGACTTGACATGAACCTTGGTTTACACCGACTTTAACGTCTAGGGTTGACAACACAAACGCCGCTCAGCTCCTTGGTACATTCTGTCAGTTTATTCTCGTCCATTTATTTCACATGTTCAAACATTATTCACACTTTATCACTCGCGACATATTCGAACATTAAACATTTGCGCAACATAAAGACGACATCTTCAAATACTACAACCGTCTTCTCTGACTTCTGATGATCGACTGCCCACGAGGCTAGCTCGGGGTTTCCCTCGCTTCCTCGACTAGGCACAAGTATCTCGTGCTGTCCCTTGTTGCACGGACTTTCTGCTTGCCACTATGTAATCGTGAAGACCATGCACAGCACCTCATCACACTCGTAAGGCGCATACTTTGAATTTTTTTTCCAGATGACCGGACATTATGGCCTCAGGAGTAAGACAAATCCATTAGATAGATGAGTCTCAAAATAGTTGAAGCTCTTTCATTGAAATAAAGGTTTTTGTTTTCTGTAGATTCGTCATCAAAATTAAATTTATTTCGGAACACAGATGTTGTAGTTCTCACAATTAAGTTCATATTTCTGAACACAGATGTTGAAGTTCTCACAATTAAGTTCATATTTCTGAGCACAGATGTTGAAGTTCTCACAATTAAGTCAATATTTCTGAATACAGATGTTGAAGTTCTCACATTGGCTAACATTGTCATCCCCTGTTCTCTTCCTTTCATTTCTGCTTAAGCTTTTTGTTTTTGTTTTTAGCAAACTTCTGATTGAATTGTTTTAAATTAAAAAAACAATGTTCTTGCAAAGTTAAGTTATTCACTTCTCTATTTACATCTTTGGCATTCCAACACTCAATGGAGCATAGGCCCACAACTAACTGCTATGTCTTTTATAAATGTGTTCATGATTATTTGGATTTTTTTGCAGCTAAAGATTTCTGTGGCAAGAGTTGTCATTTCTTATGCCAAATCGGTTTGACTGATCTGTAAAAATATGAATCTAGCATCACATGCCTTATGCGCCACTGGTGTAAACAGGGTCCTTTACTTTATATTTGTTTTTTCAATTTAAAAAAAATCTGTCATTGATTGCTGATGCATAAGGAAACACAAATTAGTAACCATATGCATATGTGTCTTATGAGCCAGTTTGGCATTCAGAAAAAGGAAAAAAGAGAAAGAAAACAACAACATTGTAGAGTAGATATCATCACAACCACCTGGACACTGGAAATATATTTATGTAAATATATATATACACACACACACCCACCCAATATCCTCATCTTCTGAAGGAGACAGAATGCATATAGGGGTTGAATAATACATTTTGATGACAAAAATCATTTCATTTTTATTATTCTAAAGTAAACCTTCCTTTTTCTGTTATTGAAAATACTTGTAGAAATTATCTTAGAATTAGTCAAATTTAACAAATTAAAAAAAAAAATGCACACACACCTACCACACACACACCAACCACACAACACACACTCACACACCACCCACCCACACACACACACACACACACACACACACACACACACACACACACACACACAATATTTTGAACATTGTCTTGAAACTAGCAGTTTTCATCTTCAGATTGCATGAAGCATGAGGTGGTGGATGACAATTTTGATGACAAAATAATTTCATCATTATTATTTCATTATAAACTCATCTTTTCCTGTTACTGAAAGTACCGGCAGAAGTGATCTTAAATTTAGTCAAATATTAGTCCAAAAAATTATTAAAACATTATCTTGAAATCAGTTTTTTTTTTCTGTTTCAGATTATGTGAAACATTTACCTGTTGATTCTCCGGATATGTCGGATGCCAAAGGTTAGAAACATTCCCACTGAGTTTTGATGCTGTGGTTTCTGGATCATGCTGTTGTCAAAATGTCAAAAGTATCAGATCTCATACTGATGATACAAAAATTATTGTTACAATACTGTGGTTGTCATTAGCATGTTGTTATATGTGTGTTGTTGTGTGTGTGAGTCTGTGTGTGCGCGTGTTTGTGTGGTTGTTGTAAGTGCACACCACATAAGACAAATCACATGTTTCTAACATACTGGGTCATTGATCGACAGCCAGATCCACTTGATAACTTTATTTTGTACACACAGATATATTGATTGTACTGTCTAAAACCATTCATTAGATACACCCCAGGACCGCATTAGTGCAGTCGATAGGAGACTCACTTTCAAATCCAGCTGCGACTCGCTGCAGCCCATGGCTGGTGTTTGAAACAGGGTGGTTCCTGCATTCACCCAGCCTCTAGATAATGGGTACCAGAGTTAACACTCTGGGGTATATGGAGGAACAATGCTGTAGCTACGAAGTTGCGTGTGGACGGCAACACAGGCGGACAATTTCTTATCAGCTGTTCGTACTGGTGACAGAGCACTTATGGTTTATAACTGTGCGCAATGACGCTGGTTCACATTTTTCGACTGTACCTTTTTTTATTACCTCCAGGAAAACTCAGTAACAGTGTGTAATGTTATTTCAGTAATCACTTAAGACTTTCTGCTCAACCAACATACACTGTGTGATCAGCTCTAATAGTGTTTATCAAAGCAAAGAACAGTGTGTATGTTTAATTTTATATTTTACATTTGGGTAGAGCATGCACAAGAAATCTGGCTAGATATGCTAGCATACAGCACAGTATATGTTGCTGCTTAAAAGGACAGATCTATAATTGATTGCTGATGCATAAGGAAACACAAATTGGTACTCATACACAGATGTGCAAACATACAGCACAGTATATGTTGCTGCTTAAAAGGAAAGATCTATAATTGATTGCTGATGCATAAGAAAACACAAATTGGTAACCATAAGCAGATGTGCAAACATACAGCACAGTATATGTTGCTGCTTAAAAGGAAAGATCTATCATTGATTGCTTATGCATAAGGAAATGCAAATTGGTAACCATACGCAGATGTGCTAGCATACAGCACAGTGTATGTTGACTGTTTGAAAGTAGTACATTCATGCTCTTGTCATTGTGTCTGTTTTCTCCTTAAGTTTTTAAAACAAAATCTACTGAGGGATCTAATCAAACAACACTGAGAGTTAACATATATCTTCCTTGCTATTTCTTTAAACCTTAGTAAGTTGATCATGGACCATTTCACTATCAGTTCTTCATCTTAGCGTTCCCTGCCTGTAAACTCCAGCAGAAACTTCTGATTGTTCATCCACTCCTGGACTTTAGTCACGTTCCAGAACTTGAGTTTTTCATGAACATTCATCTTACAGATCTGACTTATGTATGTGTAGAATTTTGGTTCCTTGCAACTCGGGCAAATACACTCCGACTTGGAAAGAAATTTTCCTAATTAGTCACTTTTTACAACATTCTGCTTAAAATGACAGTGGGTAAAGCGCCCCCATCCCCCTCTCTTAACCAAATAAAACCACTTATCTGAGGCCTCAAAAAATTGTTTCAAGCAAGATGTTAGAACAATTCTCTTTGTTTAAAAAAAAAATGTGTAGACTTGTTTTGTGACAGAAAATTTTCATTACGTTCATGAAATGTCTCTTCTTTCAGAGGCCTTGGATTTAGTCACCAAAGCTGCCTGTCACTCCAATGAGGCAATGAAAAAAATTGTAAGTGATGAACAAAGAACTCAATGGTGGACATGCTAGATAGTTGCCTTACTGGATTTAAATTACATTTGCCTTAGCTGCTATTGATTCCATATATTATATTTATCTCTGAAAGCTAGGCTGTTGTTATTTTAGGTTAAATGTCATAGTTGCCGACAGTTTACGTACAATATTGGTATTAGGTTTATCTTCTTCTGTCAGTATCTACTTTGTGTCACCATGTCTCACACTTTAGCCGATAAAAGATGGCCTAACCAGGGCACACACAGTTGTATGAAGTTTATATGTTCTGTTTCTGTTTGTCATTTGCAGTAAAACTTTATAACTATTTTGGGTAAATGGAATGTTATGTTATCACAATTGACGTCTTTCCACACTGGGCTCAGCCCTCTATTGGAGCAGCCACTCCAAGATACCTCTACTGATTGTTCCCATGAGGAGTTGCTTATAGTATCTCCTGTCTTTACTTCAAAGATGACATAGACTTGCTTTGCCAAGCTTAATTCCTCAGTCACACAGTTGCGTTAGCATAAGAGATTCACCATTGTTCCCAGCATAAGAGCTTCACCATTGTTCCCAGCATAAGAGATCCACCATTGTTCCCAGCATAAGAGATTCACCATTGTTCCCAGCATAAGAGATTCACCATTGTTCCCAGCATAAGAGATTCACCATTGTTCCCAGCATAAGAGATTCACCATTGTTCCCCAACCTAGTCCAGGTAAATTGAATTAACAAATGTAGATAATAGAAGTGGCCAATACATGTTTGGTGAATTAATTGGCATTGAATGAGCAAACAAGCAACTGTGACATTTTATCTGGCTAAACGACTTTACTAGTCTAATTTGTATTGCATTCAGAACTGTTATATCCAAGCATTTGTGTGTTTGTGATACTTTGTTGTCTTCTGCTACCTTGATTCCAGGAAACATTCCACAAGTTGTTAGACATCTACCAGAGTTTGCGAGGTGTTCCTGTGGACTTTATCTCTCCCACAAGAGAGTTTGTCACTCAGGGTCCAGTTATCAAAATTGCTGCACGCAGTGGAGAGAGGCAACTAAGACAGATTTTTCTGGTGAGTTAGACAATATTTTTTGCAAGTTATGAGTACAGTTTTAATGTTTTTTCTATAACGGTTGCTAGTTTGTGATTAGATATTTCATATGTTTTCTTTACCAATTGATAATTTGTGATAGGTTTTTTTTTCTATAACAATTTATAGTTTGTGACTACATATTAATTGTATTTATAGTTGATCATAGGAATTATCAGAGCTGTCATAACAGAGTGGCTAATATTCTTGCCTGCTGGTCTAGGGGTCGTTGGTCAAAACTCCATGAAGGCAGTTAAAAAAAAAAAAAATTAATGGCCTCAGCTCTATGCACACCCAACCTGAAACAGATATCATAAGATGCCTCGGAAAATTTAAAAAAAAAAAATTAATGGCCTCAGCTCTATGCACACCCAACCTGAAACAGATATCATAAGATGCCTCGGAAAATTAAAAAAAAAAAATTAATGGCCTCTGCTCTATGCACACCCAACCTGAAACAGATATCATAAGATGCCTCGGAAAATAAAAAAAAATAAAAACAGGTAAAAAGCCAGCCATCTCATCACCCACCAGTTAGCCATAAGCGACCATTAAGCCTCAAATTATATAAATGGAACCTTTTCTGCTCTTTACTGAGTGAAATAAGCAGGTTTCTTTTTGGTTGCTTGTATCAGCTGAGTTGAGGTAATTACCGACCTAATCGTACTTGACACTTCCCATCAGCACTTCATCTCCATCTTGAGCAGCCAGGAAATAGTTACAGTGCCAGTAGTGGTTTTTTTTAAATGTCTGTCTTGGTCTTGGAGAGATAAAATATTTGAGGAAGAGAGCTGGTACCCAGATGTATTCAAATGTGTTTACTTGCTATTCATAAAAGTCTAGTGTTTCTCAGCTGAGAAGTAGACAGTTACAGCTTTTTTGATGACCTGTGACCTTGATTTGTCTCGTCAGTTCAATGACCTGGTGTTGGTGTGTAGCCAGTACAACCTGCTTGGTACGTACAACGTGCGGTCACTTCTCGAGGTGGAGGGCATGGAGGTTAGTCTGGTATTTTTCTGTTCTTATTTACCTACATTTGTTTATTTGTTTAGCCCAAGGAGAAGACTGGTTGACAACATTAAGTTAGTGTTTGATTTTACAGGACGTTGCAGAACCAATCCAAACATACTTTACCTCATTTTTTTTAAAAAACTAGGGCATATTAGGTTTGGTAATTTGCCATTGCTTTCTGACTGGAGGTCAATACCATTGTTGAAATTAATGCAGAGTGGTCTGCTGCCAAGTCAACTGCAGCTGGAATTGAACCATTAGTTACTAGTGTATCACCCCAATGCCTCAGCCTTAGGCATTGACCGAGAACATTAAAGTTATCGAAAATCCAGTTGAATGACTTCTTCTTCTTCTTTGCGTTCGGTTTTGTGTGCTCAGATCAGGCCATCAGGTGGGTTGCCTCTATGAGCACGCATGTCAGTAGCAGGTCCTTCATGGTTCCCCATAGCTTGCTCTGCACACTTTGCTCTTAAGGCCAGGTGTCTTTTTGAAGTTGTAGGTAGAGTGGGCAGGTCTGCAGAATGTGCTCTGGTGTTTGTGGTCCTGTGTGACAGACACACTGTGGGGACTGTAGAATCTTTATTTTATGCATGTGGTAGTTGAGCCTGCAGTGTCCTATTTGTAGACAGAAAATTGTTGTATGTTGCGCTTTCTATTGAGTCTGCTGATGGGGCCTTGTGGATGCTTACTGTTAGTAATTGAATGACTGAAGTTCAGTAGCACCAGTCGAATTTAAGATTACCATCAATGTTCCCCAACAGCTCTTGATAGCAGGTCCATTGTTAGACTGGACACCTCATCATGGAAGTCTTAGACTAACCACATGATTATTTTATTTACATAACATGGGACTACGTGCCCTTATACCAACCACTTCAGCATACTGTAGGAGAAGCATTAACAATTACAGATGATTTTCCACGTTGATGGGGGGGGGGGGGGGGGGGGGGGTGGGGGGCATAGTTTAGCAGCTAGAGGCTCTGCTTGCTCACCCGATGGTCATTTGTTCGAATCTGCATTGCATCATATTTTTCTTCAAAAATGACCTCGGCTCCCAGGTTGACCCAGCAAGGGTAAAGTTCAGGGAAGTCAAAGCGGCTGGTTTGATGTGATGTTGACCATATAACTCATTGAGGGCTGAATGGCCTACAAAAATGTGAATTTAGCACCATGCGCATGTGCATCACTGACACAAAAAGTGACCTTTGACATCCCGACACAACAGCATCTTTTGGCCATAAGGGAACAGAAATCATAATGACAGTCATTGAACCTGGGATAGTGGGCGGCAGAGCTGTGATGTCCCATAAGATGAAAGAATATAATGAGCATGAGGAAAACAAATGAAGCAGTTATTTGAGAATCAGGTTAAATGCTAATCAATTTGAAAAGTTAGATGTAAACAGTTCAGACTTTTTGTGCATGTTGGGAAGAGACATACAACTGAACATTTGGTGACAAACTTGCAAACTTAATAGGAAGCTACTTCTTCTTTTTCATATATCGGCTGTGAACTCTGGCAAAAAGTTCTGGCCGTTCATCCATTTCTGGATTTTAGGCTTGTTCTAGGACTTGAGTGGTCCATAAACACGCCTTTGACAGATCTGGCTTAATTGTTTGGAGGCTGTTGGTTCCTTGCCACTCAGACATATATACTCCGACATCAAGTGAAATGTTGATCCTGTCTATATTGGTCAGGCTCCTAGTAGGGAATCTTTTTCTAGGATGACAACAGATAGGTGCAGACAGGTTGTGGTCACTATGAGCCATGGTCCTTATGCACCACTAAGTTTGGTGCGGCACGTCTGCATCCCTAATAGGAAGTGGTGTGCTCGTCTCTGTGGTGAAAACAGAAAGATATAAACTGATCAGCTCAGATTATAAATGGATGGAGCACAGCTGTTGTCATCAATTTTTACACATAAAGTGTAAAAGTAAAATGAAAGCAAAAGCTAGTTTTTTAAATATGAGATTTTATTGTTTCCGTTTCTTTGTCCTATAAAATTACTTTCTTTCTCTAATTTAATCAACAGATCCGGCATGGAACAAATATGCACATTCCAAACACATTTCTGCTGCATAGTAAACAGAAAGCAGTGGAACTTCTAGATGAGTATGTTCACGTTTTGTATTTTTAAACTCTAATTTGTCTACCTGAATAGTAAAAGAGATTTATAGGGACACAAAGAATATAAATGGGAAAAATAAATGTAAATGGTGTGAAAAGGCAGAAATGCAAAGAATAAATAGAAACAATATAAATACAAGTGATATATATGGATAGCAAATAAATATAAATCTTCTTCTTCTTAGCATTCACCAGCTGTAAACTCCAGCAAGAAGTTCTGGTTGTTCATCCACTGTTGGACTATGATCTTGTTTGAGAACTTGAGTTATACATGCATATATATTTTTACAGATCTGGTTTATTTGTATGCAGACTGTTGGCTCCTTGGCACACAAGGATACATATACATAGTTACAAAATGAATAGAAATTATGTAAATGGAAAAAAATATATAAATGGGGACAGATTAATAAGACGGATTACAAATGGAAAGAAAATAAATAGTAAGAAGTAAGAAAATTAAAGAAGAGATTGAGATTTATATGATTAGTTTCTGTTGATGCTTATGACAAAATTGTAAATCTGTCTTCTCCTCCTCATAGAACTCTGACCGGTGAAAGTTTTGGCTGGGAAGAGGTAAGTTATTTTTACTCTGTTACTTTTAAGGACTTAAAAATGAGGTAAAGAGATTGTCTGTGTAAGTGGTTGTCAGCGAAATTATGTGAGAGCCTTGTGTGGGAGAAGGTTTTTTGACGGAATATGTCAAAAGGGAGATGGGTGAGTGTCACTGTGAGGGTTTTTAAGGAGGATGTGAGGAAATCAGTGTCTGATCTTACATAGTTTAAAAGATGTAATCAGGATTGGTAACATTTAGTTGTGTTACATCAATACCTTTTGTTTCTTATATAGTCTGACAGCTAACTACTGTCAGAAGCAAAAAAACTTGTCATGACTAAACATGCCTATCCTCCATATTGACAGGCCAACTACAGTAAAAAGGTGTAGCTTTAAATAATAAACTGGGGGTTCTGAAAGGTGTCAAGTGTTTTATCCTGGCTAATGAGATCTGATGTTGTTTTTTATCAGTCTGCTGAGCTTTGGGAGAGAACTAAATTAAATTCTAGTGGATCAAGAGGTGAGGAAAAGATGCTGGCATTTGATAGGACACACATTGAGAGTGCATGAGTGAGAACAAATATAACTAGAAGGGTTTTAAACTGGAATCCACAAGGGGATAGAACTAAAGGTAGACAACAACAAAAACCAGATGGAGAAGGGAACTAGAGAGTGAAGATATGATAGGGAAGACATGTCTGAACTGCATGTGATAACAAAGGGAAGAGCGACTTAGTGTGAGTTGATTGAAGGCCTATGCTCCATTGGGGGAAACAGGGTGGAAGAATAATAAAAAGAATGTGAACAGAGGATAATGTTTGTATCTATCTGCTCCTGTGTATTCCTTGTGCTCTATAACTGTTCTTCTAAAATCATCATTAAGTATTCTGATTAATTTCAGAAAATCCACACTGTTATTGGCAAGCATAGAGAAAGGAAAAAGTCAATCAGACAGGAAGAGCCACGAGAATTTACAATCGACACCAATGTAAGTGACATAATTAAAGTATACCTGTCTGTAGCAACATTTTACATGATCAGGATATTCAATCTGAAAATAGAGTCTCATTTATGTCTACAAAGTTTGGGATATATAGAGTTGTTTCTGTTTCAATAAAAGATATTTATTCCTATCACTTACATTTGGTTATTCAATACTGCATAGCTTATGTGTAGCATTTGTCCAGATTTTGATACCTATACACCTATTTACCTATATACATCTTCACCTATTTATCTATATACATATTTACCTATATACCTATATACTTATTCACCTATATACATATACTGTTGCTTAATGACTTTTAATGTTCACAAAATATTCATGGATTCTCATGTGAGTTTGCCCTTATCACTGACATCTCTATCCTGGAGTCAGGTAGAGAAAGAGAGGGGGAGAGTGACCATAGCCCAGCCTTCTTGACTTTGTATCCTTTATTTTTGTCACATACAATTATGTGTATATATACTTCACACAATTTTTGTATTTATGCCAGGTGCCTGAAAGCTGTTTGGGCAAAACAGCGCCAGTTTGGGTTCAGGATGATGCTGCAACAATGTGTATGCTGTGCATGTTGCCATTTAACATGGTGCGGAGACGTCATCACTGCCGTGCATGCGGCAAGGTAAATAAATGTTGCAGTGTCTACCGGCACCTATACAGCATTAATAAAAACTTTATTAAATGGATACAAAAAGATATTTTCTTCTTCCTTCCTCCTCCTTGATCCATCATCTCTCAGTGTCACAAAGACCCTCAACCAGCCGATGTCAAAGTCTTTTATAGATTTGTCTATGGCTGGTTGATGTTTGCAGGTTCAATGGAAGGGCATGCCAGCCAAGCTTGTCAACCCTGCTTGGTTGCCTTTTATGGCACACATGGTAGGTTACATTATGACTGTTCTTCACTTCTCTTATTCCACCTATGGGTTCCAGGGCCACATTTTGTGAAGGAAAAACGACTCACTGCTTCCTTAACAGGCATGTCATGAAAGTTGCCTAATTAAGAGTATGTCCTTCGAGAGTGCATCTGCCAGAGAGCTCAGGAATCAACAGTCTGCATACAAAAAAAGTCAGATCTGTAAAACGGATATGCATGCAGAAATCAAGTTCTAGAACAAGACCAAAGTCCAGAAGTGAACTAACAACCAGAACTGAGTGTTGATTGCTTCATTTACCTGCTATTGTCTGTGTTTCACCATGTGTGGTGATTGCTTCTTTCACCTGCTATTGTCTGTGTTTCACCATGTGTGGTGATTGCTTCTTTCACCTGCTATTGTCTGTTTCACCATGTGTGTTGATTGCTTCTTTCACCTGCTATTGTCTGTTTCACCATGTGTGTTGATTGCTTCTTTCACCTGCTATTGTCTGTGTTTCACCATGTGTGGTGATTGCTTCTTTCACCTGCTATTGTCTGTGTTTCACCATGTGTGGTGATTGCTTCTTTCACCCCTATTGTCTGTGTTTCACCATGTATGGTGATTGCTTCTTTCACCTGCTATTGTCTGTGTTCCACTATGTGTGGTGATTGCTTTTTATACCTGCTATTTTCTGTGTTCAACCATGTGTGGTGACTGCTTCTTTCACCTGATATTGTTTGTGGTTCACCATCAAGAAAAGATACAAAACTGAACAAAAAGTATATTAGC